TTGCAGGTGGAGGTATGTCAGGACGGCAATCCGTATGGCGAGAATGCCTTTGCGTTCTTCACGCGCAATAAGTCCTTCTTCCTCATCGCACGCTCAGTGAGAGAGCGGGACGTGTGGGTGGAGGTACGTGTATCTGCATATGTGGCGACACGTGGCGTGCAGTGACCGCGAGCCTTGCTGGTACAGCATGTTTGATTGTGTGTAACTGATTGCGTTGGGCATTACCAGGCGCACGCGGAGCACATGAATTGTTTGGGACCATGCAGAATCTCTCACAGGAATGGTTGTTCGGTATGAACCTTTGTTGTTTCCCTCGTGTACCCTACAGGACATCAACTCATCCATTGAAGACACGAATGGCGCGCCGGACTCGTCACGGACACCCTCTGTATCCGACTTAGGACAGATCAATGTGGTAAGGTGGCTTGTCCATGTCAGCAGTGAGCATAGTCCGTGCAGCTGCCTTTAACTCCAACAATCCTAACATGTCGACATACCAGACATGCATTATTCTCAAGACGATGTCTTCAGTTATGAGTTTGCGTATTGCATGTGCGAGTATATCTTACTGCCGATCTTGTGTTTCACCGTCAGAGGCGATGTCCTTGTGCTTCATTTGGCTCCTTTCCTTATTTTCCCTGTGGCTGTAATTTGATATTGTTGTGTGCAGTCAAGTAACGTGTCTAGCCTGCAGTCGACCGAGAACATCGTTCTGTCTGCACCACTGCTGCTACCGTTTGAAATGTACGATGAGTGCAAGCGCTGTAGAGCGGAGTTCACGTTGACTAAGCGTAGGCACCACTGTAACGGCTGTGGAGAGGTGAGTACCGTAATTTCCCCCAAATATAAGCCGCCCTCCCGTTTTCCGATCCGAGTCATATTGGTTATGATCAAGACAAGAGTTTGACTTCCGTTTCTAATTGGAAAATCCAAGGCACTATGTGTTGTGAGCAAATACCTTGCTTGCGTATCGCTGTTGGTCATCTCAGGTTCAACAGTACAGATAAATCACCGAGTCCGTGACCGTAGCACATCACGCCTTCTGCGCTGATAAGTTTCAGCATTGGTCACCATCCATCCATCCAGGACATCCGTCCATCCATCTGTCCATCCATGTATCCATCCATCCATGTATCCATCCATCCATCCATCCGGGCCATCTTTGTGTTATGTAACTGGACTATCATGAGAAGTTCACATTCAGCCGTACCTCACTGTGTGTGTCTGCAGGTAATGTGCTCCACGTGTCTGAAGCATTCGGCCGTGCACTGTGTGTGTGTGTGTGTGTCTGCAGGTAATGTGCTCCACGTGTCTGAAGCATTCGGCCGTGCTGCCGTTCTACGGCACGGTGAAGAAGCGACGCGTCTGCCGAGATTGCTACCAGAAGTTCCAAGCTTTCCGCAGTGAGTTGGATTACAACTGGCACTGGCTAGTAGAGTGTAACTGAGTTCGAAGTACATTGAAACCAGTAAAGATCACTGCAGCACTAAAGACCGCTTTATCTGGCTCCAAGGGGTGGTTGTGAGTCGTAGGTTTTACTGTACATTGAGGGACCTTCGAAATGTGGTCTCTGTTACCAGGTGGTCTCCTTATCCAGGGTCATTTCACTGGAAATAGCATCCCTTGATCCTGGTTTCAGTGGTCTTCTTGGACAGGTGGTTGCCTTATCCGAGTGGTCGCCTTGACAGGTTTTACGGTGCATGTTCTGTGATTGGCAATGTTGACCTGAGCAGTGAAGCACCACAATGTGATCTTGTGAATGTAGCAAATTCTACTTGCAATTGAATATTTTCCAGATATGGGTGGAAGATTTTACAGCCATTCGTTTAGAATATCGGACAATGGTAACTAGCACGACTAGGCAAGTAGTCAGCATGGAGTGGCTTTGCAGAGCTTACAGTACGGTCCGGGTGCATCATGCGCTCATTTCTAATCTCCACACTCTGTTGTGTTTGCTGTCTTGATCTGTTGCGCGTCCAATAGGGAGTGATAGCAAGGATTTGACGGAGACTCTCGCCTCCGTGTCGACCAGCGCTGCTTGGAAGACAAAGCCAGGCAGCAACTCGTACAGCAGTCCCACACACAGCTACGCCAGTGGCAGTGGTCACGAGGACCTGCGCTCGTTCAGCATCCACGCTCGCCTGTCCAGCGACACAACGGCCAGCCGTGGTTCGCTGGTGTCTGACGAGGGTAGCATGTGGAGCAGCGATACAGCGTCGCGTACGGGTAGCTTCAGGGGCGGTGTGCGTGTCTCCATGCCCAACGGCTTAGATGCCTACCCTGGAGAGTCGCTGACCGAGCTCAGCGAGGTAAGTCTAAATCCTCGATGGTCTTTCATAATACGTAGCACAACTGTGGACTATTAGGTTATGTTGTTTCACACTGGGTGCACCATTCGTATTTCACTACAACTTATCTGTAGACTTGCTTCTGCTGATCTGAGCAGTCAAGCAATGTGTACAACATGCCATCAACGAAGGGTAGTGTTCCAGCGGTTTTATCCGTGTTTTTTTTCAAACGCCCGGAGCTGGTGTTGGTTGCCGCATAGACCCGTGTCGTTAGTGTGCAGTGTCACGTGTAAGATGCAATTTGAACACAGATATTCTGATTATAAGATCGTGAAAATGCGGGTCACTGCTTGTCAGTCTGAAGGACGTTTCGCCGTGAAAGTCACCTACAGTACATTGTATCGGCATTTCTCTCCCGTCTGCCCTGAACAGATACCTGATGAGGTCCAGGCTGGGAATACTTCACCACCACCTCAAGCCGACACTCCCTCTCCTTTAGCAGGCGAAGGCAGTGGTGCTGGTGCTGGTGGTAGTGGTGGTGCACGTGCCAGAGCACAGACAATGGATCCACACCTGGTCAGTGCCAAGAAGAGCATGGGCATGCCGTTCAGAGGTCCGTCCATGTCACCGCTGCGGCGCAACACGTCGCTGCGTTATGACACGGCCAAGCGCATGCGTCAGCGCAACCAAGGTGTCCTGGATGATGAGCGTATGCTGTCATCAGTAGCGGTGAGTGATTGTAGCAGTATAGTGGGATGATGGGATGCCCTTTGTGGTGTGATCTTACTTTTCGGAATCTGTTAACGTTATCATCCAAGTTTGTGACTCTTTCGGGGTTTCTTTGCTTTTTTTGTTTGTTTCTGTGATTGGCCTTCCTACCGTAGTCTATTTCCCCAGTTCTATTGTAATCGTACAGGGGGAAATCCATGTCATAAGTTGGGTGTCTCTGGGATCTCCTAGTCTGTGAAATTCTGATTACTTCACTCTATAGCTGTTCTTCTGCTCTCTGTGTCTGTGTCCGTCTCTCCTTCTGTCTGTCTGTCTGTATGTATGTCTGTCTGTATGTATGTCTGTCTGTCTGTCTGTCTGTCTGTCCGTCTCTCCTTCTGTCTGTCTGTCTGTCTGTCTGTCTCGGTAAATCCAAAGCTGTGGTCTCAGCAGCACACTGGCTCTCTACCCATGGGCACGCACCACCGTACTAACAATGATACTGTGCTTTCTCGTACAGAACCACATGAGCGGACATCTGCTGTGCAAGCTACACGAAGTGGAGGGTCACCCGTGGAAGCGCTACTGGGTGGTGTGCACCAGCTTCAGCCTGTTCTTCTACAAGACCCACCACGTAAGAGAAGTGTACATGCAGCTCAGGGCAAGTACAATGTTCACCGTTTATTCGATGTTTTCTTCACCAGTCTTCTAACCTGATAGTGGAAGCCAGACGTAAGTGGTAGCCAGACAGAAATTGCTCACCAGTCCTATACTTCATTGATAACTGGCTATAACCTCATTGGAGAACCCGTGAACCCTGCAGACAAGCTGTATACAGAACTAGCGGTGCATAGCACTGTAGCATTACACGGCTGGAGTAACTGTTCTTGACCTTAACACGTAGAACTGTGTGTCTCCCGTTTGGTTCCCCCCGTGCAGGAAACCAAACCACTGCACACTATGGCTCTGCCTGACTATGAGTTCAGCGTGGTTGGACCGGTACGTATAACACTCGGTGTATGATCACGGATACTCTGAACTGTATTGATGACTCCATCACTCCTATAATATTATGAGTTGAATATGGCATGATTGCTCACACAGGCGGAAGCAAAGCTGTGCATGCTCATCGCCGTTGTCACTTACCTGGTTTGACCGGCCACTGAGTGACACCAACACTTCTCGCTTCAGGCTTTACCGATGTTGTTCCGAATCACTTAGAAGTCATTACAGTATACTGTATATGAGTTCAACAGGGGAAGACCGGGATCGGCGAGGAGTAATGGCAAACACAACTGGCTGAACTTCAACACCGTTGTAATACATGCATGCCTTTTTCTGATTGTATTTGCCGCTGTGCCTGCTGCCGTAGACTGATGGAGCTCTCTGCGAACTGCCACACAGCTTCAAGCTCAGCAATGGCAGCAGTGCCAGTTGTTTCGTCTCTGACAGCTCGCATGCGCTGGACAGGTAAGCCTAGGCAAGGAAGAGTCAAGTTCTAGACTGGTGTTATACTCTTTGAGGTACCGGTATGTCTTTCATATGGTGTCCTTGCCGCGTCATGTGTCCTGTTTGGCTGCTGCACCATTTTCGGAATGGGATTTATTATCCTGGGCATGTGAAATAGTGGTGTCCGTGCGCATCTGGAAGCTAGGTTTCCCTGCCCCGAACGCATACCCCATCATTATACTGATGTTGCTATTATATCTGTTGCTTCTGCAGGTGGACGGAGGTCATCACGAGCTGTCGTGCCGGGCCCAGCCGAGGGTCGACGTACCACATTATTAACGCATAAACGAACCCCCGCTATCTTCTTTGCCTTTCAAATTTGGAAACCTTTTTTTTCTTTTTCAAACGTTCACAGGTCTATTGTTAACCGTTTATTTTCCTCTTCCTGGACATAGGGTGAATGGCAATTTTGAGTAATTTAAATTATAAACGATCTTCTAGCTATCACTGCTGAGGCGCATTCTGAATTCAGGCCTTGGCGTACTCCCCGAAGACTCTGCGACACCACGCCAGGGTGGTGCATCCAGAACGCTGCGTTTCAGAGCATTATATTGATCTACATGTATTTCTTGAAGAAAATACACTGTCTTTTTAAAGACAAATAGTGATAGTCTGGGTCTTTGACGCAGCCGTCTTAAAGTGCACACAGTTTACTAAGACAATACAAAAATAACCCCGAAACGAATGCAAGCAGAGCGCTGAGTAAGGACGGTACATGAGTAGAGCGGACAGGATGACACTGGGGTGTGGCAGTATGGCACAGATTGCATGACACTGGGTTTGGCAGTATGGCACAGATTGCATGACACTGGGTTGTGGTCTTGTGGATTTAGTGTGGCGGCTTTCTGTTAAAAACGGATAAATCGGTAAAAAATAGACCAAACCTAAGCGCAGGTTGTTGACCTGCAGAAGATGAGCAGCGGAAGATGAGCAGCGGAGTTACATGAAAAGTAAGCTGAGGCGGTTTCATGAGTGTACCGTTAGTACCTGGCAGGTTTGGCTGGTTAGGGTGCAAGTCAAGGTCAGTGTAGCATGGCATAACTCGGTATGGGCAGCTTGTTTCACCTGGGATTCAAGAGGCCACAAATCAGCGGCTCGGTTAGCACAGCATGCCAGAGAGGAACTGGTGATAGTCACGATGATGTCATACTCCGTACTGTTCATGCTAAGCTAGAGATGCCTGCACAGCACAGTGCCAGCGGCATGGCTTGTCTACATGATGGCATGTGTATGGCTGCGTTGGCGGCGGCATATGATCGGTTTCTTACTGTTTCTGTTTGTGAGCATGACGATAGCAGGCTGTGGTTGATTCTCTCCGGTAGTCTTTCATTCGCTCACTCTCCGCTCTCAGCTGGCCATGTACCACTGAGTCTCGAATGCCTGGTAGACATGCTGCAGATGCTGGAATCGGTTACATTGCTCCGGTAGGTTGAGTGACACGGACTCCAGTGACGTGCATAGTTTGGTCAACCTGTAAGGCATTCAGGAGTGCACGCGCATACACACAGCACCACACAACACACATGAGATAAGAACAACAAGCTATGCCCGTGTAGGTGTGCTATACAAACAGGGCAAGTTGGGTTATCACGAGCTGAGCAAAGCCAGCATTTCTGGAAGCACTAGCGGCTATACAACAATGAGTATTTGACGTGTTTCGTTTTGATTTAATAGCAAATGTGCTTGCCACTCACATGACATTATTTTTTTAAAGTCTATACAAGATGAACACAGTCACAACAGGGTGAATTGCTTCTGATTTGGCCTCCCAACAGTCATCTGCAATGTCCACAAGACTCGCAGCCATCATAACAGTTCTCATCAAAACCCAGTTGCACGCGAATCGTGATACTGTAGTGTTTACTGATGCGAGAAACGACGCAACACGTCGACCGTCACCCCCTTGGTGGTCCAGCGAAAACCCAGTGTCAAGAGACCACCGTCGGTTTTCAATGACGGCTAGGCATACTATGGCGTTGTGCTATCCCCTAGTACTAGTATTTCAACATGCTTTCCACCTGTACCTACTACGTACCAAGTAGCCAGCTTTTCAGGCATTCGTCCGCAACCGGAACTGCATGCTGTCTTCAGGTTGTCAAAGTTAGCCTCGAGGGACGATCTGATTGCCGCCATGTCCGGTCCTAGCTGCTTGATTAGAGTCTTCAGTGGCAGACAAAACAGAACACACAAGAGAAGAAGTGATCAGAAATGCTTTGCATCACTGTTGTATTAATCTCCAGCAGTCACATATGATGTCATTAGTGACAGATAAGCACTGGCAGGCTGTCCAACCGTCCTGCTTTGAGCAGGACAGTCCTGCTGTGGACCAAAACATGTGTGTATATTTACATTGGAGACAATCGCCTTTGTATACGTTATAGTGTGGGGTGAGTCCTGCTTGGGAATGGTGGCAAGGTTGGACAGACTGCACTGCTGCCCGAGTTTTCACCACCACCGCCGCTGCTGCTGCTGCTGTCGCCACCACCACCACCACCACCACCACCACCACCACCAGCAGCAGCAGCAGCAGCAGCAGCAGCAGCAGCAGCAGCAGCAGCAGCAGCAGCACAACCACACAGTGTTTCATGCGCATCAATCTACTTACATAGAGAATGACAACTTGGTGAGCAAGGTACTTCTGATTCTGTGACTGCCCCAGCGCAACTTCTTGGGCGATCATAGACGACATAGAGTGTAGTTGATGCAACATGTTCACCTCTGTCAGGTAGTCTGATCAATCAACCACACACACACACACAGGCACAATAACAGCAGCAGCAGCAGGCACAGCAGCCACAGCAGCCACAGCAGCAATAACGATATTACACTGAACCTTCATTTTTAGAGACAAAACATCAAGTTACGGTCCATGAACTCTGTTTCCATTCCCTCTCTGGCAAAGACCACTTACTAACTTGACTTAGCCATTATTCAGTGCCATCGGTCAAGTATGTTTGATGAATTGATACTAAGAGTCCAAAACTGCTTAGCCCATCATTTTCTGCCAGGATGCCACCACCTCCATTGAGCAGTGTTTGGTATGCCCAGTCTTAAAAGGGAAGTTAAGGCTAAAATCAAAATTTCACCAGTTGTAGTCTTCGGGGTGCTGAGTCGAATGGTCTTGGTCCGAGAAAGCTGAGATGCTCCCTTCCTACTTTAATCCCAATCGAACTTGCGCACTTCCACCGAAACTGGGTGACTGCACCCTACTAGATGGGGATTTGTATGCAAAATGTCACTAAAAGCGCCATGTCGTTCTTATAAAAGCACGGGTGACCGCGATTGGCCCATATGTTGTAGTCTTTTGGACGCTGAGTCGACTGGCTTTGGTCCGAAAAGGCTGCGATGCAGCGTTCCTCCTTTATTCCCAATCGAACATGGTTGAAGAAGCGGTCACGTGCTCCTGGGTGCCCAAATCACCTGGTCACCACGCCAGCAGGCGACAACTTTCACACCAAGGTTCAACTCGAGTTCAACTCGAGTGACAGGACTGCACCCAAAAAAGGTCAAACAGGCTAGTAAGTTGTACCCTGCAGGCACGGTGACCAGGTGACTGGTGTACGCAGGAGCACGTGACCGCTTGTTCAACCATGTTCGATTGGGAATAAAGGAGGAACGCTGCATCGCAGCCTTTTCAGACCAAAACCAGTCGACTCAGCGTCCGAAAGACTACAACATATGGGCCAATCGCGGTCATCCGTGCTTTTATAAGAACGACATGGCGCTTTTAGTGACATTTTGCATACAAATCCCCATCTAGTAGGGCGCAGTCACCCAGTTTCGGTGGAAGTGTGCGAGTTCGATTGGGATTAAAGTAGGAAGGGAGCGTCTCAGCTTCCTCGGACCACGACCATTCGACCCAGCACCCCGAAGACTACAACTGGTGAAATTTTGATTTAGCCTTAACTTCCCCTTGGGATTAAAGTAGGAAGGGAGCGTCTCAGCTTCCTCGGACCACGACCATTCGATCCAGCACCCCGAAGACTACAACTGGTGAAATTTTGATTTAGCCTTAACTTCCCCTTTAAGACGTGTTTATAAACGTACTCATATAGTCAAAGTACAATGCATCATCGCAATGGGGACACAGTGCAGTACTGATGTCATTGACCGAAAGGAATTTTGAAACAACGATAACAACAACACCAACAACAACAACAACGACGACGACGATGACCACAACAACACCACCACCACCACCACCACCACCACCACCACCACCACCACCAACAACAACAGATGTATCTCAAGAATTCAACTGGGCAGGAAGAAACCCTCTTTTACTGGAGTACGGTACGCTGTGGTGAAGGAGACAACCAGAGCTCAAGGACCAATGTCACGCTTTGCCGGAAGAGCAGTACAAAGTTGCATAGTTCTCCAGACCGGATTGGCCAGACCTCACACACGTACACACACACATGTGTGCGCACACACACACACACACATCACATACTTACAGTCCAGCCTGGATGTGTACAAACGGCCAGGTTCCTTGCATGAGTTCTGCACAAAAGATAGGGCATTGGGCATAATATCTGCCAGCTCCATCTCCGAGATGAAGTCCTGCGGTAGGCAAAGAGCACCACACAGTCACACAAACCCGTCACCTCACTGAATATATGTACATAAATGTCCCAGGAGCACTTTTGTTTACATTACCAGAAGTGCAGCATCCCAAGTAACGTCCGGTTAGAGTTAAGGTTCAGGTTAGCATGCATGAAAATGATTGAGAGAGAGTGAGAGTGAGAGAGAGAGAGAGAGAGAGAGAGAGAGAGGAGAGAGAAAGAGAGAGAGAGAGAGAGAGAGAGAGAGAGAGAGAGGAGAGAGAGAGAGAGAGATAGATACCGTATTTCCGCGCATATAAAGCCATGGCGTTATAGGTGAAACATTGCTGTTTTGGACCAAATGTTTGGAGAAAATAGCCTCGGTTTTAACGCCATGGCGCTAAAAGTGAGAGACGCGTACATGCAAAAAAATCGGCAGAGTATGAACTTCGAGTACTCGTACGGTGCTGTTGCACGTTCATGTCGAGCATCCATGTACTTTCAATTTTCCCTGAAAATTTCAAATTGTGAACCTATTGTGTACAAGGTGGCATACAAACTTGTGTGAAGGTTTGGTGGCGGTATGGCATGTGACAGTAGGGATGGGTACATGCAGAGAGAATTACCGTGACTGTAGGTTCACTGAAAGAATTGAACTCACCTTTAACGCCAGATGCAACTTCCTCCACATTGAATTTTGTTCACTTATAACGCCATGGCTTTATAAGTGAGGGTGGCCTTATATTCGGATATAATGCCAGGGCTTTATATGCGCGGAAATACGGTAGATGATATAGATAGATAGAGAGAGGGGGGGGGGGGGGGGGGGGAGAGAGAGAGAGAGAGAGAGAGAGAGGGGGGGGGGGGGGGGCTGAGCTCACCTGGAGTGGAAGTGGTGCTGGTAAGTTCAACTCTTCCACCATTTCATCCAGCTGCTTGCTGAGTTCCTGTGCTACAACACACACACACACAAACAAAAGTCACAAGAAAACACAATCATGCAAATCTTTTGCTGCTCATACTGCTGCTAAACCTTGCCAAGATAATACCTATAGTACAGCACTGCACATCACAACTTCCGCTGACTTCAGTTTTCGGTAAAAAATTCGGCACCGAAGTTACCGAAGATAAAATACCACCGAACATTTCTGCTTTTACAGAATATCATAGCTACAGTCTCTTTGCAGGAAAATGCTTTCAATTCTACGCAATGCGCACACTTTTTTTAGATACTTTCAGGGTAGCCCCCCCCCCCCCCCCCCCCCCCAGCCGTTTTTGGCTGATCAGTACTAAAGTAGATTGGCACCCTCCTACCACAGTCCAAGTGTTGGGACGGGGTCTTTGCATGCTCAGCAGAGTGGAGGCAAGTACAAAGCTGTTAGTCCGCCTGAGAGTCTCCTCTCACAGGCATCACGATTAACGCCCCAGGCAGGACAGGGCAATGATGACGAGCTTCAAAGGATTTCTAAGATGCCGAAGGAAATTCGTAACGAGCAGACGGCCAGTAAGGATACTCTCAATCGTTTCATGGATGATGTGCTGACAAGGATGGAGAAGGTCATGGAGAGTATGACGGGATGAAGAAAACCCTGTCATCCTTCGAACAAAGATTTGCCGCACTCGAAGGCATTCCCGTACCTGTACCCACAGCGTCAGTACCAGCTCCACCTGACTTTCCCGCTCTGATTTTCAAGAGGAAGCTGAGCGACTACACCGGAAGCAGTATGCTATCGTATGCGGAATCCCCAAGGTGGATAGTGAAAAACTAGAAGAAAAAACTTTCAAGGTGTGAGAAAGAACAGTACTGGACCAGATAAAGAAATTCTTTGCAGATAATAAACGGCCTTGAATACGTACCAGACTCCCAATTTGCATACCGTCGCAACCACTCTTGCGAAGACTGCTTGGCTCTAGCTGTGAACCGATGGCTTTCTGCACTGGATAGTAACGAATACTGCAGTGTCATCTTCGTTGACATGAGTAAGGCCTTCGACAGAGTGGCACACTCCGCCCTCATTGAGAGTCCACATGACACCGGTGTCAGGGATGTTGCCTTGTGTTGGTTTGCTAGCTACCTGTCTGACAGAATGCAAACTGTTAGAGTTGGCCAGGAACTCGGACAGTCACGCCCGTGCTCCCAAGGAGTGCCCCAAGGCTCCGTTCTGGGCCCAGTCTTGTTTTGCATATACATCCGCGACATTACACCCTGTCGTCGGTTTAGCCAAGACCAGCAATACGCCGATGACATTGCATTCTATGTCCGGCATAGTGACTGTAACACTGTGCCGGAGGCCCTCAATGCAGACCTTGCTGCTTTGGATAGCTATCTTACAGGGAAGGGACTGGTTTTTAACCCTGATAAGACACAATTTCTGCTACTACGTCGCCCAACTTACTAGTCCCTTACCCATCACTGTGTCCATATCATGCCATAAAATCCACTCTCTATCCTGCGCACACAGCCAAATACTTAGGCCTCATAGTGGATGAGCACTTGTCATTTGATTCGGTGCTCAAGTAGATAGAGTTTGCATTGTCGTCAAGCAGAAGGTCGGAGCCTACAAGCATGCCAGGCAGAACCTGAACCACAAAGCGTGTCGTCTTTTCTATCTATCCGTTATTCAATCCAACATTGAGTATGCTAGCTCTGCGTACATTAACTGTCTATCTCACCGTTCATACAACCAGCTGATAACACCCAGCCGTACTTGTCCTTAAAATAATGTTTGCCCTTGACGGAAGAACTCCCACTGAGACACTGTACGCTTACACCAATATCTACACGCTAGAGCAACGCTTAAAATTCAAGCAATATGTCTTTGTCTTTCGCTGTCTGAATGGTTCATCTAGCGCACTTCTCAGCCTCCTATTCACTGCCTGCTGCATTGGACCATACACTGGTGCCCCACAAACCGCGGCCAAGCGACAGCTGCTCTTGTCTTGCCTGCTTGCCAATCCCGGTATTGTTTTGCATTCCATTGCGCACCTTGGTCCTGACAGGTGGAATGTGCTGCCTCCATCTTGTCGCCTGCTGTGTTTCGCGCTCTCACAACGTCACATTTAGGGTTCCCAGTAAAAACTAAAAGGGCAACAATAGAGAGGTTCCGCATAGCGTAATTACGTTAGTAAAAAAACGTACTTCGAGGTAGTCAATATATGGAAAGTCTTACGTACACTGCATGTGGATCTGTGTTCTGCAATACGGAGTTTTCAAATCACGTAGCTGCCCTTGGCAACTCCGAACGCGGCAGTGTACGACCGGGTTGACCTGGGGAGTGAGTCATAAATTCGAACCCCAATCCACTTACGGTGCACCTCCTTTATCAGAGCCCTATCTACGTACTCTATGTAGACAACTTTCCGTACGTGGAGTACAAACTCGCGAATTCACGGGTTTTTCCCGCCCACTAACGTATTAAAAAAGTCGCTCAATATTGCGGAACCTCTCTAAGGGGCCGTCCGGGGTTACCGATTGTTTTTACAAAACGAAAAGTTTTAGTATTTTTCAGCCCCCACCCACCCACCCACCTTTTCTGCAGGTAAAACGAATTCCAATAAAATATTGATGTCAATTTTCGACACCCAGAAGTAACTGGGCATTCTCCATCAGCATTCAATAATTATTTTCAAAACGAAACTCCATCAAACCCACCCACCCACAAACGAAAACATTTCGTTTTGAAAATATGATTGGTAACCTTGGACGGCCCCTAATGCCTGTCGGGAAATCCCTAACAAAATAAGAAAGAAAGTGTTGTCTCAGCAATGGTTGGTGTTACTCCTCGTCGAGGTGTTATCCCTTTATGGACAATTGCATGACTTTCGATCATAATTGCCGTATTTCCGCAAATAAAAGGCCGTCTTCGTATACTACGCCTTCCTCGAATACAAGGCCGGGGCAGGGGGCGATTGAAAAAATACAAGACCGTCTCCGATTAGAAGACCGGGCCTACTAAATGTGTGCTCAAACTTGTGTTAAAATAGAAGACCGTGCTCAAACAGTGGGAAAAAATAGAAGACCGTGCTCAAACTGTGTAGAAGAAAATGGAAGAACGGGGGTAAAACTGTGTGGCGAAAAATAGAAGACCGGGGTCAAACTGGGTTGAAGGAATAAAAGACCGTCCTCAAATATAAGGCCGGGCTAGGACGAGTTTGAAAAAATAGTAGACCGGCCTACTATTTGCGGAAATACGGTATATGATCGAAACTTGAAGCGGGGATTTCAGCTGGTGATCTTCTTCGTTTTTCGATTTTTTTCAATAGGCCCACAGCTGAGATGCATGCGGATCGAATGAGCACAAAATCTACGTACGTCACAAATAAAAAAAGTTCGCGGAAATTCCCACTAAACATTGCACCCTCAACAATGCATTTCGCTCTCAATGGAACTAAAAAAATTCAACACTTCATTTTGGCAACTTTTATTGATCCGAATTCAGTCTGAAACCATACTTTAGCAGCAATTATCATAGCAGCATCTGTGAGATATTCATTGAGACCATAATATTATTACCTTGGCTTAGGTGAGAGCCCATTGATAGGCGGCTGGCTTTGTCTACATTCTTCTGTGCCTTGGAAAGCTGAGGATACAGCACATACAAAGTCACAGGCACACAGCCATCATACATAGTTGCAGGGAAATCGGTGGTGGGCAGGATGCCACTAAAAGACTGGACCAATGAATATCACAATTCTCTCTCTCTCCCTCTCTCCTCTCTCTCTCTCTCTCTCTCTCTCTCTCTCTCTCTCTCTCTCTCTCTCTCTCTCTCTCTCTCTCTCTCTCTCTCTCTCTCTCTCTCTCTCTCTCTCTCTCTCTCTCTCTCTCTCTCTCTCTCTCTCTCTCTCTCTCTCTCTCTCTTTGCTGCTGATCGTGATAGGTATAGGCAGCTTGTTTATCAGTGTAGTTTGTTTTTTCTCTGTTCTTTTGATGCTGCTGCCTTATGATACACATGGCACCCCTACGACCAGAATGTTTATGGGTTATACATACAATACATACATACATACATACATACATACATACAATATTACACAGCAATGAATCAAACAAGTCTCATTCCGCTGTAACTCCGAGTTTCGTGTCAGAACACTTCATCAGACAGCATATGACCAAGACTAACAATCACTAGAATAATATATATACGGAGAAGGGGAGAAGGCAAAAGGCGATGGAGGTACATTTCAGTAGCGCGAGGAAAAGGGATGACAAAATCAGCGTGATTATAAGAGGAAAAAGATGTTGAGAGTACATACATACTACAGTACATACATACTTTACACTGCGGCCAATATCTTAGTGCCGGTGAACTGGTTTTATACATGGGGCCGATACCTAACGGGATAAAAGAAGAAGATAAAAGATCATAGTCATACCTGTATGTGCTTGCGGAGAACAATATCCAAAAGGCTCAACCGGGAAAAGAACTCCGCCAGGAAGAAGTCCGAAAGCACGGCGGATGCCCGCAGCGAGTCATCTAGGCAAACATCCACTATCACCCGCAGCACAATGACAGCAAGAGAAGCAACACAATATACAGCAGCACAGTACAGCACAGCACAGGAGGATTGAAAGGGGTTTATGCATAAAACATGGCCGCCACCTTCCTGAGGGGTAACTTGTCCCATATTTGTCAGGTACAGCCAGTTGTAGTACATTTGTGGGTATGACCGTACACAGTTTATGACTCTTTGATGCAGGATTGGTATCACCTTGACCTTTGACCTTTGACGCCCATCGCCGGAGGCGATGATAGCAATGCTACGGCAGAAGCCATAGCAACTTGTGCTGGGATTACACCATTCAACAGCTTGCAAGGCTGAAGAATTGACCGTCACTATTCAGCCTGGTCTACACCATACAGCTATTTGGAGTGACATTTTCTGGCCAGTGAATCCCTATTTTTGGTCTTTTTCATTTTTTTTTTTTCCCCGCACACACATCACACCACATACTCCGGCATGCACTGGCTGTTGGTAACCACCCAGGAGAATGAAAGAAAAGTAGTGCTGAAACGATTATATCGATTACTCGTTACTTACTCGATAGGAAATAGATCGAACGGTTATTTCGATTTTATCGGCTAAACGAGTAGAATTAATGGTACTTACGCTCGGTACGGGATTTCCCCCCTTTTGGGGGTCGCACAAAGCGTGCATGCATCGAAAGTGTTGCGAGTAGCCTACGACACGAATAATAATATTATGTACATGACTGTACACTTGCTACATTGATGTACGTGTAAAGTACAAGCGCGATCTGAGAAACATCGACGCGATCATCGTCGCCGTCTTTTGAGCTGACTACTTTTCTTACATACAGCATGCAGGACGGGCAGGCTCAGTATGTGTCTACACTAGCTGCAGCGGCTGGAGTTCCCTCCACGTGCGAGTAGTCGTAGTCTTGAGCTAAAGACAGTAAAGTGGTCTTCAGTTTCATGTTTCCGTTCTGTCGACTGTTCCCGACCCAGTTTGCTCGACGACGAGCTAGGCCTGGCGTCTGGGCCTACTTTGAGCATAGACAGGAAAAGCAACTAGTTACTTGTTGGTGTGCCTCAAGTCAGCTCATCTGTCGAAATCCGCCGATCTGCACTCCTGGCCGGCTTCTCTGACTTCATCGTCGGAGTCAGCGAAGTCACAGGCGAAGGGCACCATCTGAGCTCTTGGGTTGCAACCAGTGAGTTGCCTCTGTCTTGTCTGTATTCGTCTGGTCAGTCCGAACAGCTGACGGACTTGTGGCGGGATCACATACTGACCAACCACCAGAATCTCAATCCCTTGACAAGACATGCAGAATCCCTGGATTTTTCTCAAAATCCCTGGATGGCACAAAAACAAGTGAAAAAGGGCTTTTCCCGCCAAAAAAAGTTCAACTCTGCAGATCTGCGTACGGCACAGTTCGACCCTGCATCGCAGTTCGATCAGTCGGCGCCTGCATAGCGCCTGTCAGTGCAGATCTTGTGCCAGTTGTTGTCAGGTCTTGAAAGTGCCGTGCACAGTTCGAAGTGCGAGTGCGCACCGTACATATTTTTGGAAAAAACCGGGACATTCGAGGCGAATCCATGGAGTTTTCAGGAAAATCCTGTATCAGACGAAACTGTGACTTTTCCGGGAGTTTGCTTGAAATCCCCGGGACCCCGGGAGTAGTGTTGATTTCCCGGGATTTTCCCGGGAAAACCGGGAGGGTTGGCCAGTATGGGATCATCGGATCTATGCGCCCGCTTTTCGTCATTGGCGATGTTGGACTCGTGATTTTTTTTGAAATTCACAGAATGTACATGTACAGATGAAGTTACAATAATAATCGTTTAGCCGATAAGCCGATCGTTATGGTATCAGCTAAGCCACTAAGGAAAAAACGTAATCGTTTCAGCACTAAAGAAAAGTCAGGAAGAGTCTGAGAAAGAGAAGAAAGACGTGTGTGACCATAATCGTCGGGAATCGAACCCGCAATCTATCGATTGGAAATCGCTGCACATACCACTGCACCATATGGGACACACTCACAGTGTGTACCGTTCAGTGGACTTGCCCCACAAGATCAAATGGCGGGAGTATTATTGGAAGAGAGTTGGTAACTCCCATTTAAAGTTGGAATTATGACAGACACAGCTACTTCAAGAAGTTGTCTACAGGATTGGGTCTTTTCACAAAAAGTTATCGCTTTAGGTAAACAGTTTCCTCTGAGACAAAAATGCGATAATACTCATAAAAAGGACACACTTCAGGCTCATTACAAACATCTTGAAAGTTTTTCCCTCCAATTTCGTGATCTGCTGAGGAAGGTTGTTGATGGTATGTTGGATTTCACGTGTGAATTTGAGGAGTCAGATCGTCTACCTTTTCTTGATGTGCTCGTTGAGAAGTCAATTGATGGTGGTGTTGTCACGTCGGTCTATCGCAAGCCTACGTTCACTGGCTTGTACATTGTTTGGGATTCGTTTTGCGCGACACTGTATAAGATCAATTTGTTGCGTAATTTGGTGGATCGTGCACGTCGCCTTTGTTCGTCTTCAAGGTTGGAGCAGGAGTTGGAGAAGTTACGTGCGCTTTTTCGTCTCAATGGATACCCCGAGTCTGTTATTGTGAAGTATGTAACTGAGACCAGTCCAAAGAAGAATGCTGAAGTTTCCACTAATCCAGTATACCTATGTTTACCGTGGAAGGGCGAGTCAGTATCACGTATGGTTCAGCGTCGGGTTAAGTCTGCCGTGGAGTCCAATTACCATAATGTTCATATTCGCTTCATCTACTCCACGGTGCGTGCGTTCACGGTGAGGAAGGACGTCCTACCTACAGGCCAATTATCCAAGTTGATTTATCACTTCGAGTGTCGGCAATGTGAGAGCCGATATGTAGGTAGGACTCTTCAACATCTGGACGCACGCATCCGACAACACGCACCGCTACACCTTATTCCACAACACGCACGATCCACTCGACCACGGAGGGGACGTCCAGCAAAGAATCATCCTGGTACAGGATGGTCCAACGCAGCGGCATCAACACCAAGCAACGTCACCTCACAATTAACTAGACCACCAGAAAAACAACCGGACAAGACACCTATGTGCGTGGCAGTGACAGGAACCGCATCAACCAGAAGAATGACAAGATCGGCAACGGCGGCGATGGCGGCGACTAAAGCACAGACAGAGGCAACGGCTAGGGTCCACTCGACTAGCCATGTGAAATCGGATGTGTCCACCGCACATGCTGATTGTTCTGATGTTAGTTCTGATAAGTATGAGTCGTCCATTGCTAGTCATTTGTTTGAGCATCCTGATTGTCGTGCTGTGTATTCGGATGATTGTTTTTCGATTGTGTCACGTGTACGCAGTGCTAGATTGCTGAATGTTTTGGAAGCTGTATACATCCACACAAGGAAACCCAACCTTTGCAAGCAGAAACAAATCAAATTCACACTTAGGCTGTTAGGTAGGTCGTCAAAACCTCGTTAGTTACATGTATGTCCAGTGGTTGTCTCTTGTTGTCGCACTACATGTCGCGCTTACTGAGTTTTCTCGCATTTGCACCTTTGTGTCATTATTGCAATTTTCGCTGTTTACTTTAGCTATCTTCTTTCTTTCTTTCTTTCTTTTTGCGCTGTTTTACCACCTTCTTACTGTATTTAATCCACTGTTCCTGTTCCTTTTCCCTTGCCTGTATTTCACCTGATGAGAAGGCTTGAAAGTATACTTGTGAAGACAAAAACTTTCAAGATGTTTGTAATGAGCCTGAAGTGTGTCCTTTTTATGAGAGTTATCGCTTTATAAGCTTATTTAAAACAGATCGTCAGCTGGCATCATCAACATCATTGTGTTAGCAATGCTTCTTCTTTTTTTGCCTTCTGACCGATGTACAATGTACAGTACATGCACACTAGATGGAGTTGACTTGTTGACCTTCGTACCAATGACATTAAAATACACTGCCGTGGAAGCAAGTCGGGGTAGCTTGAGACAGTGCCCGACACATATGGGTGCAGAGTCTCACATGTTTACCTGATCATCACTTTCAGTGAAAAGTTGTACACATTTCTCAAAATCACAAGCAGACTGTTTTCTTTGCCTTTTCTGTATGTTAGAGTCCTAAGGGGGCATCAAAATAGCCCTATGGAAGTTATTTTCTGGCGGGGATTGAAAATTTCAGCCACCCATCAAGTTTACTTCAGAGTGAAGCTTATTTCAGAGAATAGCTTTTCAAGGACGCGGTACCGTGCCCGTCAGCAGCGCTCACCCTAAGATTGCGCATTGAAAAGTATACGAAATGTGACAGGTTCGTCTCCACCAGCACTCGGAGCGAAATCGAAGCTTGTTCTTTTTTTGCCCAAGCCGTGGAAGGGCTTCCTGGACAGTTGAGCTCCTCTGACTCAACACTAGCACATAGCATGAAGTTGAGTGCCATCCTATATTATAGTGCTTCTTTCACCTCCATGCGTCCATTCACGTACAAACTGAATGTGACATGGGCTTCGCCTGTTCACCAGCGATTCAAAAATTTCTCACACATGATCCCAAAAAGTGACCATTAGTCCGTCCCTGAAAAAGCTCTATACAGCATCGGTTGAATTTCATCCTCACTGGTGCTTGATTCAGCAGGCACACGCTGTCTGTTTGCGGTCAATTCTACCCGTTTGTGCGCGGCCTTGTACTTGCGGCCACCACAGCATGGATGTTACAGAGCTTCATGAAAACTCTCTGTAACCTGAACAAGACGAGCAAAAACACAATTTCCTGCTTGCTTTTTTCCTACAGGTACAGTCGACTCCACTTATAACGAACTCGCATATAGTGAATTTCGTGATATAGGGAACCGTTGTCCATGTCCCGGGTTGAGCCCACAATGTAAGTGCGTTTCTGTTATAACGAACTTCGGCTATAAAGAATTAATTCATATTATTCTCCTCCACAATGGTGTTCGTCGTATCAGGAATCGACTGTATTCATGATTTTGAATTCTACCTCACACTGTACTTGTATAGTGGATGCACGAATTCCCCTAATTCCTGGAAGCTAACCTTGAAAGCTTGGATCATAACTTTGAGGGACGCACAGCGGAGCGGATGCAGCTAACGCCATGACACAGCTGCTGAGATTGGAGCTGCGCAATATCTCCCAAGCACTCCTCGGCTTTTCTCTAGAATCGAAGATGTTGCATGCGTATTTTCAGCGGTGCGATGTTCCCAAAAAAAGTAGCAGGTCCCAACTGAATTGAAATGACTACGAGTATTCAGTATAGCAGTAGTCTACACTGCACTCGACTCAACAATGAGCGAGACATAAGCCGATGATAAGTACTAGTAATCATTATCATAATGCTCATTTGAATTGACATCAATTTTATCAATCTTTTCTTTATAAAAATATTGAAAATAATATTATTGTAAACAGATAGATACGATAGCGCAGATCAGGTGATGGGGCCGGCCGGGGCACATGGCACAGGCCGGGGTAGATCTAGCTACCCCGGGTTGACGTGACGGGGTCGTGCTGGAGTGCGATCACGAGCCTGCAGCACACGCAAAATCCATGATCTTCCGCGGCCAAATCCATGCAGCAGTGCGTGCGTGTGTGCGTGGGTGGGTACGTACCGGGTGTTGGATCGAACGACACACGAGCCGAAGGACACGATCATGCAGTAGACCGAGCTGTTCAGTGTTGGTTTGCGTGAATGGTGAAAGAAGAAAGGAAAATGAATCAAGATTTATGGAGTAGTTTCATCTCGAATTTTTTAGCCGTTCTTCCTTTGGAGTTTGGTATTACTGCTTTGCGCTGCTGAGAGAGAACAACCAGCACATCGAGTAACTTAGTATTGACGTTTTCTTTGCTTGTAGTTAGAGATGAATGAGCTATCAGCAGTTGCAGCCAGTGTGACTCAGTTTCGAAACCCAGCAGAGCTCGCCAATGCATGGAAAGGTGCAGACGAGAGAGGTGCTCGAAGTCTTGTACGTATTGTTGTAATTAATGATTATAGTTATGAGTATAGTTTGTTGATAGGAACACAACCAACCCACAGCCAACGGACACCGATTCGTTTTGACAGAAACGTTTTTTTTGAAGAATTCATCAGTGACTGCTTCTGGTAGATGATAGAGAGAATGAACAAAGCAGCTCATGGTAGCAGAAAATAAAGCTACTACAGGTGTGAAAAGCAGTAGCAATGCAGGAGGGTAGTACTAGTACAGTCGTCGCCAAAATAATCCGGCCAATGCCGATACGATGGATTCAGTGGTATGGCAGTCCTTCGCGTAGATGTACGCGTTCACCGGCGGTGCTTCACGTCGGTGCATGGCGTGGACCATTCGTGTCGCGCATGCATGCATTTACTGTAGCAGCGCAGCATGCACTGAACAGTCTGCAGTTGAGCACTGCACAGTGACTGAGTGAGTGTATGCAGGCCGGCAGCGGGGCATGATCAGTGCATGTGCCGTCCACTAGTAGTGGTAGTGTATGTGGCCCATGCACAGATGGCATAGCGTTGGCTGGATTTGTTTGGCGACGACTGTAGACCTAGTAGCAATGTACCTTTTAGTAGCAATACAGGATGCAGCGTAATGGTGCAAAGAACAGCATGTGTGTCACGAAACACACTGCACACTGCATGTACAGTCCTGCTCAATGAAATCCAGTCGCGTCACTCAAGCAGTGCGCCTTGAGTCATTTCGCAGCCCAGTGTTCGCAGGTCTAGGGCTGCGCGAAGCCCGGCGCGTGCTTGAGTGACACGACTGGATTTCATTGGGCAACACTGTAGCATAGGTTCACACAGTGACGCTACGAAGAGGAGCAAGGTGTGACTTGAGCAAATACAGCAGGACAATATTCTGTTTCTACCTGGAGAGGTTGGACTGCTGGGTGTGAAAATCAACAGCTTCTAGCTCCTTCAAATGACGATCAGAACGACCACATGACGCAATGGAAAGGAAATCATCAGAATAAATATCAACACATTTGGGATTGTTTGTCATTTTTGGACTACGGGGCCGAGAAACGAACAAAATCACAAAACGACACAAAAGTACGAACATACGTCTTTCCCTTAAACCAGTGAATAAGAATACAGTCGAGAGAACTTCACCTTTAGCCGCTGGTATCGCTCCGAAGTTCTTGCCAGCTGATCACAAGCCACCACCTCCTCAATACGTTCGGTACTGAACACTTTAACCTTGGTCGCTCGTCGTCGAAAATTCCTGGGTGCAACACCATACCGTAAGCACTCGCAGAGAACGCGGGTATTGCCAGAGAGCTCAGGGAGTAGTTTGCTAGACCCCCCGCCTTGCTACTGCTTTTCACACCTGTAGTAGCTTTATTTTCTGCTACCATGAGCTGCTTTGTTCATTCTCAATCATCTACCAGAAGTAGTCACTGATGGATGAAGCTTCTGTCAGTCACTGATGAATTCTGGAGAAAAAACGTGTCTGTCGAAACGAATCGGTGTCCGTTGGTTGTGGATTGGTTGTGTTTCTATCAATAATTGTCATGTTGTCTCCGACTAGAATATTCGAGTATAGTTTGAATTTGGTTTTTTGAAAATTTCTGTCATTCGACTTTATATTTGCGCTTTTGGCTTCTACTTATACCGGTATTCATCTTTTCTCACGTATTTCTCAGAGTGGACAACGCTCTATTGAAGACGTTGAGAAAGAAGCTCTCCAGCTATTGCGTGGGGATGATATTGCAAAGCGGTGAGTGAGCCACGTGGCGATGAGTGTGGAGGTACTTCAAGTAGTGTTTAATGGACTATGGAATGGACATATCAGGATGCAACAGACCTGTGATGTATGGTCGACTTGTATGGCAGCCTGTAATATACGCTGATTTATTGTGTACAGGCGTGCATAGATTGACCCCTCCCCCACACACACCACGCACGCGCGCGCGCGCACACACACACACGCACATGCACCCGTGTGCTTACACACATACACACACACGCACATCTGCAGAGGTCTTTGTACAGCAGAGGAATCCTATCCATGGAGGTTATGCAGTTACGTGAAGTGAGGAGATGCTGGGACTCTTTGCCCACCTGTAGGGTGCCAACCTACAAGCAAGAGTACCTAGCTTCCTAGAATGTACATGTACAACTTCCCATAAAACTCCTGCCGTACAGAAATCTGATGACGTGACTCAAGTTTGCTCCCTGCACCAGTTCACGTCCCAGTGTTTGCAGGTCTGTAGGCTGCACAGTGCCCGGCGTGGTATTCACTCGCTTGATCGTATTCCGTTGAGCGGCACTGAACTTCTGCCTAGCAAGTGGCAGTCTTGTCTAAGGAGACTTACTAGTAGTTGTTCAAGACCACATGTATACTCTGTAGCTTATCATTCTCAATGCTAGATCTTGTGGGGCAGATTTCCTCCATTTCTATTCTCACTGTCACTGAAAGTGGCACCTCTTAGTTTTGCATATTTCGTCTTGTTTTCTTTGCCTTAGATCCAGTGGAGTGGTCTTGATTGCATCAATAGCTAAAGTCAGTACAGGTTCACACTTCAAAGAGCGATGCGATGTCTGGATTCAACAATGTGTGTCCAACCTTGACGTAAGCTGTGACATACTCTGTGTGTGTGTGTGTGTGTGTGTGTGTGTGTGTGTGTGTGTGTGTGTGTGCGTGTGCGTGTGTGCATGTGTTTGTATGTGTGCCTGTGTGTATGTGTGTGGGTGTTTGTGTGTGCATGTGTGTGTGTGTGTGTGTGTGTGTGCCTGTGTGTATGTGGGTGTGTGGGTGTGTGTATGTGGGTGTGTGTATGTGGGTGTGTGGGTGGGGGGTGAGAGTAGTAGTAATGTCTCGCATGATTACTTATTTACCATCAGTGCCTCCCATACAGTGATTTATGGCTTGCCTGTCTGTGTTCTATCTTTCATCTCTTTTCCTTTTCAGAAAAGTGGTCCCGAAGCTCAAAAAGGAATAGCAGAGCTTCTTTGTCAGCTTCTCTCTCGAAGTTCTGAGGTAGGTATTTTGGAAGTCAGTTTATGGACCAACGCATATGGCCGATTGGTTTGCAGGCCTGCCTGCGAATCATGAGGTCCCGAGTTCGAGACCCGCGCTGGTAGCAGGGAGCGTGTAAAGACTTTTTACGTGAGTAAAGACTTTTTATGCGTGGTGAACTGCGCCGACACCCACGGTCAACTGGGTACTCACAGCTCGGAGTGAGGGTAACAAGGATGCAGTTTACAGGGTTATGGGCCGTTACACGCCCGATTGGTTGAGAGACTCACCTACTCTCCCCTGACTCACTTGTGAGGTCTGCATTCGCCACTCAGGTGTGCAAGGCATAGGCATAGTGGTGGCCTGCGGAAGCGAAGGCTAGTTTGTGTGTTTCTGAACATTCAAGCGATGCCAACGCGAATCCCGCGAATTATTATTATTATTATTATTATGGTGCTTCTTTCTGTTTTCAGTGCTTCGTTCTGTTTTCAGTGCTTCGTGGAAAATCCGTTGAACATGTATTGCTGTGTGCAGTGCTTTGAGGATAAGATGATGAAAATGTGTATTTACTCTGTGTGTGTGTGTGTGTGTGTGTGTGTGTGTGTGTATGTGGCGTGTGTGTGTGTGTGTGTGTGTTTGTATATGCATTCATGCGTGCGTATGTATGTACCGTAAAGTACCGTTGATCCGCCTCCTGTCGAATTTCTGCCTGTGAAGCGACTTCTGTGTTTACAATGAAGTACGGTGTTGAACCGACGCTTGCGTTACGATTATAGTTATAGTTCTTGTACTCTTTGGCGCAAATCACACCATCATTCAGCCTGTGTACGTTTCATCACAATTTGTCCTGCCAATATGCTGTATAAATTGACATTGTTGTGCTTCGTCACAGTATCACCATGTACTGATTTGAGAAGTAATAGTACAAAAGGCCGCATCAGATTTACAACTGGCTCCGTCTCTTCGTGTGCTAATATGTATACGTGTGTGTGTATTCTTTTGCTATTGCGTACATTGGTTTCTTTTTCTTTTTTGGCAGTTTCGGGAGCTAACACAGCTTGTAGACAAGTTCATTTCTCCGATCGTCGACAAACTTTTGAGAGCAACACCCGAGGTAAGATGGCTGCACTAACATATCCACAATACTGGTGCAGGTCTACCCTGGTTAGTATGACATAGGTTACAAGACACACCTCATTAGAAGACATTCAAGACAACGATCACAAATCCCCTGACGCCCGCCTGAAGCGCGTACTTTCAAGTCCGGATAGTAGATAAAACTGGTTATGAGGAAAACATGTTGAAACCCCCGGGGTTGTCTACTAATGAGGGTAGACATGCCAGTAGTTGAAGTGGTTTACAGGCGAATAATGTAAGAGAGGCACCCTACATGTAGTTCTGCAACGGAGTTATTAGACGGGCCTAATACCAATGCTTGGTGGAAGGGGCCAGCGGACATGGAGAGGTTGATCGAGGCATGCCACACAGACTATCACAGCTTTACCGCACCATTTCATCTGACTTTGAAGTTAGCGATTGGTAATGTCGCCTGTCTTGGTTCGTTCCCTATCGCAAGAATTTTGGGTGTTGGAGATGTGCTAGTAATCACTTCCAGACTTCCCGTTGGCTGATGCCTATAGTAGACTGATTGCAGTGTCCTATAAGTCAACAAATAGTCAGCGCATTTTTATTTTCGGCTATTTTCGGCCTGGTCATGTTTGGCCGAGAATTTGTTTCGCAAGGTTCAGTGTGACAGTGTATACATGCGGTAGCAGTACGAGGTGAATAGCAATTTCTGGACATGAAAATAAAATAGAGGCCCACTGGCTGTGTGTTTTACATTTTTCATATCTATTTGTATCTATTGTATGGCCTAATCCTTCATCTTTCCAAATATGTGACAATTGCTCATGCTGTGATCACAGAGACTTTATAGCAGGATGTTTTCGACAGGCCAATTTTTTGGCCTAAATTTCAGTGTATGGAATTCTGGACATGAAAGTAAAATAGCGTCAATAGGCATCCTATACTGCACCATTTTTGTTATTTTTTCTATTGGTGGACTGCAGTTGGCCTCTTCACACTTCCAGCCAACAGGTCCAAGACTATACAGCATCTGAAGTGGAGTGCACATGGGGAAGCCAACGATTCGTCCATTACTTCTTATTTTACTCAAAATTCAAAATTCTCATGCGACATAGTACCACAAAACTCGTTGAAATGCCTCCCACGAAAAGGCTATCAACAAGGCACCGACACGAGGAGAAACTACAACAGCCCAGCTGTCAACTACAACAAGAAAAAACTTCATCAACCTGACTGACTTGACTCTACACGCGACGAAAAATTATTTTACTCGAAATGTCCAGAAATGTCCAATGTCCAGAAATAGCAATTCACCTCGTACAGACCGAAAATTTGATGCGGCCGAAATGGGTTTTAGCCCTGGGAGGCGGAAATTTGAATGGGCCGAAAATTTGTAGTCATACAGTAGATGAAAAAGGGGGTGGTAACATCCTGCTGCAGGCACACATGCACACACACGCACATAGATACACACACGCACATACATACACGCACGCACACACACACACACACATACGCACGCATGAGCGTGCGTAGACATTATGCCCACTGTTAGTATGCCTGCATGTTTAGCATTGTAGTACACTGTAGCTTGTTACCTGAAGCATGATAACTCACATTGGATTGGATGCTCTTGATTCGCTGTGCTTGCTGCAGTGGCGAGTGAAGGCGTTGGAATGCCTAAACACCTGCATACAATGCTACCCAGCGTTGTGCCTATCAAGCAAGGTATGTTGTGCATATGCTCAAGCAGACATCTGTCTATTTCCACAATGATCTAGTATCTAGAAGTAGAGACTTCAGCAATTGTAGTAGGCAAAGTTGGTCACTTCTGAATGGAGCTCCACTTCCTGCCGTATAACGTGACACTTGACTGACGCACAGCTGCCATCCGAAGCACACGAGGAGGATATTGAACTGTCCAATCCACTCAGCAAACTTGCAAGAAAGCACTGCATGTGATTTCTGCCACTTAGCATTTTGGCAACATTTTTGCAAAAGCTCCAATGCATCACTTTATGTATTAGGTCTTGCTTGCAAGCCTATGCATCATTTATTGGGTTATGTTCTCTTGCTGTTGTCCATGTGCTGTTGTGCTTTTCTGCACTCTCTTGTTGGTTCCCCTGTCTACAGGAGAAGATCATCAATGCTCTCTTTCCGATGTTGGATATCGGAGATGAAGCAACACAGAATGTAAGCAACTGCACATCTAGACTTTCCTTTGCCTTGTGCAAGATTCTGTGTCGCTCTATGTCAGCTTTCTCTGTACAGTCTGTAGCTGAAACCGTGTTCACCGTATGCGGACAACTCGGCCTCCAGCGAACCATGAATTTTTTAGTTTTAATTTTATCAGGGCTGCCACACTTTGAGGGAGAAACATCTGACGGGCGTCCGTGGGTGTCCCCCGGAGAATTCTTTTAGGAAAATGGCTTGCTGTTGGGGCCCCAGAACACATTTTTAACTGTCCACGCACATGCAAGCACGCGTGCATTTTACAGCTACATGTACATGTACAATGACTGGCCAAACGCGACCTGGAAGCACCTAATGGCCGACTGGACTAGAAAGCGCTCAAAATAAAATAATTGGTTGTCCCTCTTTGGGAACAAAATCGGTCGGTTTGCCCGAAAGGCGATCAAAAATCAGACGATTTCAGAAAAATCGGAGCAAGTGGCAGCCCTGTTTTATTTTTTTATCATCTTGATGTTGTCATTTCCGCTGCTGCTGCTGCTGCTGCTGCTGCTGCTGCTGCTGCTGTTATGTGGTGGTGTGCTGTGGTGGTGTGCTGTGGTGGTGTGCTGTGGTGCTATGGTGGGTATGTTGATGTTGATGTTGTGACTGTGTTTTGTTGATGCTAGATTGTTGCCCAGTGTATGGCATCGGCACCTAGCATTGGCAGTGACGGTGGCAATGCTGCCACGCGGCACACAGAGGTGTGGATGCTCTGGTGCAACATGCTCCTGGCTACACTCAACGATTCCCTGGACAAGCTGGTGTCTGCAATGGAAGAGAAACAAGTGCAGACTCCACTGATAGGAAGTACGTAGATCTCCTTCTTGAAGACGGCTGATAACATTTTGCAATTTTTCATTGTGTCCATGGGCATGGTGATGCTGGCAAGGTTTGAACAAAAGATCTTGCCCTCGAGGGCCCCTCGCTTTGCTGGCCATGCTCATGAACATAGAAATATACGTGATGTGTACATTGGTACTTGAAGTACGGGGCAAAAGTTCTCAAGCTGTCAAGAATATGAAGCCTCCACTGGGTGGCTGTACGCTCAGCTGACTGAGAAATTCCGCATCTCCTATCATGGTGCAATGCTTCTGTTGTGCATATTTTGTACGTATCACGTACATTTCTATTGTGCCCACATTTTAGTAGCAAGTGAGTGGACGATAAATATGGTGGTAAAGACACACCTGGCAATATGGCGGTAAACACACGCCTGCCCACACACGCTCTCTAGGCTGCAAAGTTCTGGCACAGAGCTCTCCTTCTCACCACGACCACCATCAGTTCGCGCCTGGCGCCTGGTCGATGCATGGCTGGCGGTATCTGGCATAGCAGGCTGGTACATCAAGTTGCGCATGGCACATAGATGATGACACAGCAACGACATAGCTCGATTGCGACGTACGTTTCGTCCCCGCTGGACTCATCAGGCAATCTTCTTCTTGGATGTCTTCATACGGAACTTAACTCGGGAGAATGAAATTGAAGACCCCCCCCCGCCAAATTGCCAGGTGTGTCTTTACCACCATATTTATCAACCATAAGTACAGCTGCAGTGGTGTCTTCAATTTCATTCTCCCAAGTGAGTGGACTATAAAACTAATACACTGTAAACTGGGAAACCTTTGCGATCTGGATTAATTCCCGACTTTTGCAATGGGTGTGAAATCGTTAAAGTAGGCCGGCGCAAAACGTAGAACTGTAGTAGTAAATCTAATGAAATTGATTCCAATTTGTTATCATTTCCAGGTGCAAATTCATTGGTCTCTGCGTGCAAATTGCGAACTAAAACCGGCACAAACATTTCCTGGATTACAGTAGCTTTCCTGGAGAACAAGTACTGTTAACAGAGAAACCTTTATTAGGTAGAGAGGACGGCTTGTGCAACTCCACACGTTGCGGGTTTTTTTTACGATCAGTATTGCAGTTTTTAAATCAACGAACCTTCCTTTCTCTCTCTCTCTATCTATCTCTCTCTCGATTTATCTCTCTCTCTCTCTCTCTCTCTCCCTCTCGCTCTCTCCCTCACCTCTTTTTAGAAGCATTGCCTCACGGCACAGAGCTTTACTTGCAATATGTTTATGTTTATATGATTGCATCAGGAGTTCCCCTTGACAGACCATTGCCTCTCCGTTAAATATAAGGTTAACACTTGTGTGTCTTGATGTTATCATTCCTTGGCTATGTTCTTTCTATAGCATTTACGATGGGCCCTGGCACTGGTGGTCAAAATTCAGAGCCGCCGGAGAAGTTTCCACTCGAGGAGCCTCCGGAGAATGAGCCTAATCGCTCCGCCTTGCTGCTGACTCGATGCCAGTCGCTGTGCGCCTGCCTGAAGTATCTACTGCAGTACGTTGTTTGTGTGTGTGTGTGTGTGTGTGTGTGTGTGTGTGTGTGTGTGTGTGTGTGTGTGTGTGTGTGTGTGTGTGTGTGTGACCAGTTCCGATTACATCATTGTGTGTGTGTGTGTGACCAGTTCCGATTACATCATTGTGTGTGTGTGTGTGACCAGTTCCGATTACATCATTGTATGTGTACATGTGTACGTCCAGCCGCATTCGTGCCACTTCCGGGGCGTCAAGGGCTGTGGAAGTTGAGGGCGCCAGCTTTTCCACACACGTTGGGTCGGGTTTCAGTGAGCACAACTGTAATACAAAGTCTGACAGGGATTTAAGTAATCATTTAACAGTTTTGAACGCACTGATGTATGTTTGTTACTTGTGGATGCCAGTAGCACAAAATTAATCCAATGTGCGATGTGTGTCGCCTTTTGGACGGCAGTTCAGCTTCAAATCACTATTTTCCAAATATTTACCCATCCACGTGGACGGATAACGTCACAATGATGTTGCGTACGTTGTTTATACATTTGTGCATATTGAACCTTGCCCACCGCAGCATAATGTACGTCTCAGCTTTAAATCGAATCGTTGCAGGCTGCCAGTCTTGATATTCTGTCTATGGTTGAGGTTTGTGACGCTACATGTATGCACAGTGTATAATTATATGCATATGCGCTTGCATCCGCACATGCTCACTCATGCAGAAACTCCATGAAGACTGGCAAATAGGAGTCAGTGGTTTTCGTGTTCGGTAGCTGATTTACGTGTCTGCTTGGGTGTGTATGTGTATGTGTGTGTGTGTGTGTGTGTGTGTGTGACGACCTGGAGTTTGCAGATGATGCAGCACTACTTGCACCATCCCGTGAGTCAGCTCAACTGGCTTTGGAGCTGTTCAGCAACGTTGCTTCTTCCTTCGGCTTGACTCTGAGTACAGCGAAGACCAAGTTCATGGCCGTTGGTGCAAATTTATCATGTGCTGACCGCCTTCCGCTCTTTGTTGGTCCGGAGGAGATCGAAAGTGTCAAATCCTTTGTGTATCTTGGCTCTGTGATAACTGCTGACACCCGCTCATCTGCAGATGTGGCCAGAAGACTCGGTAAGGCAGCGGCAGCTTTCGACCTTATGCGCCGTGTCTTTCTTGACCGAAACCTTTCCATCGCCACCAAGCGCTATCTTTACGATGTTTGCGTTCTGTCCACATTGCTCTATGCCTGTGAGTGCTGGACTCCGCTGAAGAGAGACATGGTTGCCATCAACAACTTCCACCACCGCTCCCTCAGGTTCATTCTGGGTGTATCCCGGCTCGATCAACAGCTGCAGCATGTCAACAACCAGGAGCTGCGAAGACGCTGGGGTGATATGGCACTGCCATCTGATACCGTCAGACACCGCCGTCTGCAGTGGCTTGGGCATGTCGCCAGAATGCCAGATAACCGGCTTCCGAAGCTGATACTGTTTAGCTTCTTCTCAGATCCACGCCCAGCCTGTGGGCCACGACTGCGATGGAAAGACCTCGTCGCACGTGATCTTCGTTTCGGTGGCATAGTGAATTGGCTCACTTTGGCTCAGGATCGCCCAGCATGGCGCGAGGCAATTGCAAAGACTCCGGATGATCTCGTGGAGTGTAACAACAACAAAGTCACCTGCAAGGTTTGCAACCGATCATTCACTGCTCGTGGGATTCACCGTCACAAGTGCTCAGCTGTACGGTCCTTACCTGTTGCCCAGCAGCCTGGGGCCCGTCACTGTGGAGTTTGTGACCGCTGGTTTCAAAGCGCTGGCGGTTTTGCAGTTCATCGTTGTGTGGAGCGTCAGACATCGGACGAAATACCAGCTGTTTCAACGAGATGCAGCCTGAATTTGGACTGCTGCCAGCACCATTGCTCGATCTGTGATCGCTGCATGAAGAGTCAGGCTGGTTTTAACCGCCATAATTGTACTCGAGGCAAACGACTGCGAAAGGACCAGAGGACTAATCTGCCCATTCAATGCAGCCTATGTAACGAACGATTCTCCCGCCCGCAGGACCTCACCCGCCACCGAAGACAGAAACACTAGCTATGTGTAGAACGGTCCCCTTTCACCTCAATTATTCTCCTTGTTTCTTTTTTCTCGCTGTTGTCTCCCGCTTCTGGGAGCGACGTGGCCATTTTGTGGCAGTTGTACATAGTAGTAGTGTGTGTGTGTGTGTGTGTGTGTGTGTGTGTGTGTGCGTGCGTGTGTGGTGCATGCGTCTCTGTGTGCATGCGTGCATTTGTTTCCGCATGTACCACAGGACTGCGTATCCTGTAGCCGTATCTTTCCCTCTGCAGGCAATACTGGCTGTGATCTGCCGTATACTGGCTCTCAGCAATCGGCAACTGGTAAATTTGTTTGTGTAGCATCTTGTGCATGCATAGGAAGCCGAGCAGTGTTCAATGGCCATTGTGTTCGCACTACAACTAGTCAGCTCTTCACGCCTACACTGTACTGTGATACTATTACCGTACATGTAGTAGTCACAGTCACTGTGAGTCTGTGCATGTTGTGGTATTTGCATTATCTTGGCGCGCACGAAGACAAATCACAGAACTACTATTGATTACCAGTTGATAGAAAAAATATGTATTTTAGTTATTTTTTTTCATTGCTATCAGGTTCGGCCTCATTTCCTCTGTGCTGCGCTGATGAGTCCACAAAGGACGAAACAGTTCTGTCCGCAGATTGAGTATTTTAGTTATTACAAAGCCAGCGGAGCGGACTCAACACTATAATGTGGAGCACTATAACACACAAGGCACAAAGGACTCTACAAACTCTATGAACCTGCTTTGTGCTTTTTTGTTTATTATAGTTATTAGAAATGTAGTAGTGAACCTTTGGTGTTGCTGTGCTGTATTGTGCAGGTCACACATCCGTCAGTGGAATGTGTACTGGTGTTCAGCGCGTTGCCAGTCTTCTACACAAGTTCTTTGGAGTTGCTTACAGCTGTCACTTGCAGGTGGGCCTCCTGGTGTGGAGAGCAGTGTCTGTGTTCATGCGTGCGTGCGTGTGTCCTCCTCATCCTCTCTCTCTCTCTCTCTCTCTCTCTCTCTCTCTCTCTCTCTCTCTCTCTCTCTCTCTCTCTCTCTCTCTCTCTCTCTCTCTCTCTCTCTCTCTCTCTCTCTCTCTCTCTCGTGTAACCCTTTAGGCCAGTTCGTGGACAGTACAGGACAGATATGTGTGTGTGTTGCATGTGTTTTATGCGTGCGTGTATGTATGTATGTGTGTGTATGGTGTACTGTTGGTGTGATGTGATGTGTTCAGCTGCAAGCAAATGCTGCTACCACAGAGCTGGCTCATCAATCAGCTGCTACTTCAGGCGTATGGCTGGAGTGGTGGTGAGGCTTCCAACCATGCCACACCATACAGGTGAGTGCAGACACGCCCCTACCCACACAGCCATCTCCATCCAGCAGGGTTTCCAATGCAATCACAGCCAAAGAACATATTATCATTGGGATTGTGTAGCTGGGTCGGGACTTATCGGCCGGAAGACAGCCACTTCAGGACTTATCGGCATAGGTGCTTTCACTATCATGTTTTCTAGGGTGCAGTGCATTGTGTGTTGTCTGTGACATTCACGCATGTCTAATCAACTGGGTTCTGCATTTCTAGAGTATGACTATTGTAGTAGTATGGTGATGCTACATGTATTGTTGTCTCTTGATTATGTGTTGCCATCTTGTGCCGTGTCCTGCTCTCCTGTGTTGCCTTGTGTGCTGTGCGAAGGTCACGCATTTTTTTTGTCTTGTGCGGGAACTTAATTCCATGATGCGTTGTGTTCTGTTGTGCGCGCAGCTGTGTGCGTATTGCGCTGCATCGCCAGGTGGAAGCCTGGATGTGGGTCATTGGCAGCGACATTGACAAGGGATCGGCGTTGCACTTCGTCAAGCATGCCATGAGCGATGCCAAACCACTGCGCAAGGAGGACAAGATTAATGAGGATGTAAGAAGACACATGTGTCTGATAGAAAGAGAAAAGACCGAAAGGAACTACAAGTTACGCTCTACAGTGCTGTCGGGTAGCGCCCAAGAACGGAGCGCCCAAGAACAGCCAGGCTAGAATTTCATCAAGCACTGCATACCAATGTATACACGGTGACTCAACCGTGCATAGACTGTAGTACATGAAAATAGGAACGGTCTAGGCTACGAGGCTGCCCCCAGTTCTTCGGTGACCGACAGTACTGTACTGTGCACTAACACCACCAGTTACTGGACAATCAGCTGATGCGATAACATTGCGCGACACTGACCAACGGTACTGACACTCTACAACTATAACTTAGTCCATTTCAAAACTATAGACGCGTACCTAGGCAAAAGCCGTTATGCCAGCATCTATACCACATAAAATCTGTGATCACTTTGTGCATAAATAGTCCAAATTGGGCGTCTGTTATCCAATCGTTTAGAAACTATATGAGAGTACTTGTGGAGCGGACCTGAGCAATATTCCGAAAACTATTCTCAAAAAGGTCCAGCCAAATTTGAAATATTTCAAAAACCCTACGCGTCTATAGTTTTGAAATGGACTGTAACTAACTAACTGCATGTAGTTCCTTGGTCCTTTCTCTTGCCTTAAAGTTAAATTCTTCCTTGGCCCTCCATCCGAGTCATCTTTACACATGTGTCTGCGAGAGTATTGTCATTATTTTGTCAATTGGATCAGTTGTATCAACCAAGCACAGGGAACACATTTTATTGCTTGGGATTTACATCATATCTTCACAAGTGAGTAGCTAGAAATCATCTCGAGTTACATGCTCTTCTAGCACCGATTCCTACAAAAATCTCACGTATGGGTTCGTCTTGCACCAGTAGAGCTGGAGTTGCTCTGTATCAGGCCTCACCTCGAGCTTCAGTTGGTTCTTCAGCGTGCGCGCACACACACACACACGCGCGCGCGCGCGCAGGTGTACAGTGCGGCTGCTGCATTCCTTTCTTCTTCCTACCAATAGTTGCCATGGCGTTGCTGCGTCTTCATCAACCTTCCCTCTGTTACCTTGTGCCTCACAGTTCGCGTTAAAATCAGCCAAAAGGGAGAAGACCGCTGAGATCTCGGCAGCAGACCCGAATGATATTGATATCTGTGCCAATGCCGAGTTGACTATTAGTGCGCTCAGAGGTTAGTAATCTCTCCCTAGCTCCTGTTTCTGATGTTTTCTTAGTGTTTCTGTTGCATTTCTTCTCTCTCTTTCTTTGTCTCTCTTTTTGTCTCTCTCTCTCTCTCTCTCTCTCTCTCTCTCTCTCTCTCTCTCTCTCTCTCTCTCTCTCTCTCTCTCTCTCTCTCTCTCTCTCTCTCTCTCTCTCTCACACACACACACACACACACACACACACACACACACACACACACACACACACACACACACACACACACACGCACGCACACACACACACACACACACACACACTCTCTCTCTCTCTCTCTCTCTCTCTCTCTCTCTCTTTTCGCTCTCTCACTCTATGGCATACGGCGTATGTGTTTCCTGTTGTTTCTGCAGCTCTGTCCGCTATTCTCTCTGCTGCTGGGTCAGTACTGCCAACAGAGTGCCATACGGTGAGGCCAGAGTGTTTGCTACAGTGTTTTCTTCATGTCGTTCTTGCTGTCATTCCTTGTGAAATTTGGGGCTGTGATTAGCGTGTCCAACCAACTGTGACCAACTTCTGCTGCTGCAGTGGTGTCAATTTTCTTTTCTCTTGTGCAGTATAGACGGGATTCTCATGTGTGTGTGTTTCGATGTCATTCTCATGTGTGTGTGTGTGTGTGTGTGTGTGTGTGTGTGTGTGTGTGTGTGTGTGTGTGTGTGTGTGTGTGTGTGTGTGTTTGCGTGTGTGTATATGTGTGTGTGCTTGCGTGTGTGTGTGTGTTTGTGCGTCGTGTCCTGTCATACATAAACACCGTGCAGAGCGTACGTCTGTTCCTGATTCCCGTGCTGCTGGAGATCAACAATGCCCATCGGCCCAGCAGTGGCATGCCAGCGCCGAAGGGCTGGTGGACAGCTGGCGGTGCACCAGTGCCCTACGGACGCGCTGATTGCCGCAAGGAGATTTACAACGCACTGCTCAGCTGTGTGCTTGCGGAGAAACCGGGTGCAGAGGCTATGCACCATGCTATCCACATGTTCACTGATGGTGCTCGCGATCCTAACATGGAGGTAATTGTGCAGGTTTACTGTGCATGCGACTTGTGCACTTTTCTTCATTTCCTTGTGTGTAATGTTTGCCGTATATGTCGCCATCATTGGGCAATGAGCCACCATGTTTCTGCTGGTACTAGTATCTGATTTTGCCCTGTGGATGTTTATCAGATGCCTCCTGTATGTGTCATAACACAGTGGAAACGTGGACGTGCCATTCACTGGGTTCTCTCCCCTTTTTGGCTGTGTCAGCATCTCCATCTTTGTTAGAATAACACTGAATGCTCTTCTCACAGAACGTCTCTGGCCAGGCGGGGAAGTCTGTCTATGTTCGACGCACCTGTGTTGTGATTTCGTTGCCCGCCGCTACTCTTTACGTGTGTTTGCAGGTCAGTATGACGTGCCGACAAGCAATCTCCGTGTGCAACGTAATCGTGCGCTCGCAGCACTCATCTGCCTCCGGCGGTGGCGGTGCATCAGCAAGCGCCACGGCAAGCGATACGGCAGCCAACGCTGCCAGAAGAGGTGATGCCGAGGGCACAGTGGGTACACCTGGTGCTGGCTTGCCCAGGAATATTGGCCAGCTACCGCCAGCATCAGCACGGGTAAGCAGCTCTCGGGGCAACCTTTGAGTACACACACACACACACACACACACACACACACACGGGGCAACCTTTGAGTACACACACACACACGGGGCAAACTTTGAGTACACGCACACACGGGGCAACCTTTGAGTACACACACACACACACACACACACACACACACACACACACACACACACACACACACACACACACACACGTACAGCATGCGTGTACAATACTACAGTCAGACCTCGCTTAACTCCACACATCCGTTTTCCACAAAAAAATATCCGGATAGGCGAGGGAATTGGATAATCGAGCACACATACTGCATGTATGCATGGCATCTGCTGTAAATCGGTAACCAACAATTTTCTTCCGGATAAAAGAGGACCGGATAAGCGAGGTCTGACTGTGCATGATTTACTCCTGCACCTCACGTCAGGGTGCGTGGCGAAGAAATGCTGCAGGAACACGTGTAGGCCACGGGGCAGCCCCCGTCATGGGATGGCACTCACGTTTAACAAGACAGGTTGTGTATGAACGGGGTCTTCTAGCCACTGCAATCTGCTTGGTAGCTTTCCTTGTTGTCCCTTAATTGCGTAAAAATTCCAAAGGCACCTTAATCAAGGCTTCTGAGGAGTGCTTGGCTGCAAGAAACTTTAAGGTAGAGACGGTTTTAATAATTGCTTCTCTGCTTACTCAGGTGTAGCATATTATAATATGATCCCAGATCAAACTCTGGACAAGAAATGACGCAGAAGCAAGTGCGGTCGATACAAGGCACGAAGCTGAAGGAAGTGCCTGACCGACTCAAGTGATCCTGGTGTTGAGAAAAGGAAGTTGCAACAAGATCGGTCTGTGTTAGACAAAACGCATGGAATGGTGTGTGTTAACGGACGATGCACCACCTGACAGAATGTTGTACTAGGCCTGAACGGGAGACAGGCCGTAACGGATCACTTCTTGTGTCTCTGTTCAGTTGCTGATACAGCAGAGTGTAGCAGCCCAGCAGATGCAGCTCCAGGAAACCATTCGTCAGCGCAGGAATACGCCCGGTGGCAACATGACCAGCTCTGGTTCTATGGCAGCACAGACGCCGCCACAGCAGCAGCTCTCGAAGCCACATGTGGTGGCAGATCTGTCTCAAGTATGTCTCACCTGTGTTGACAGTTGACACGTGTCTGTATGCATCTGAATGTGCCTGTGTGGGTATGCCCGCGCACACACCACACATGTGCCTGTGTGGGTATGCCCGCACGCACGCCACGCACGTGGCTGTATGTATGCACGCACGCCATGCAAGTGCTGGCGTGATAACGTTCTTCTTCCAAGAACGGCGTCAGTGATTGATCCAGCTCGACCGAAGACCACCATGAAGTGGGGTTAGCCTGTAGCACCATCCAGCTGCCTATACCTATGTCCCAGGACTTCTGTTGAGACTGCGGCTGAGATGTTCACGGTTCACCGGTGACAGTACTTGCCATCATCTGCGAACGAACGTTGTTTTGTGTGCGTGCATGTGTGTGTGTGTGTGTGTGTGTGTGTTTGTGTGTTTGTGTGTGTGTGTGTGTGTGTGTGTGTGTGTGTGTGTGTGTGTGTGTGCGCGCACCCATCATGTTTCTCCTCTGTATAGGCACAGTCTTCAACTATCCACGGCCGGAGGATGAAGAACAGGAAAGGATCGGCGGCATCAAGTGCTTCACCGTCGGAGGATCCTGGCGAGACGATCGTCACACCATCCAGTATTGCAGCAGCTGCAGAGCCAGAAGCAATGCAAGTCGATAGTGGCGAATCAATAACACTCACAGAACAACAATCTGAACCTTGTACACCAACAGTCCGTCCTTTGAAAGAAGCCAGCGAAGGCCAAGCCTCCTCGACAGACTCAGCGTCACCAAGAACTGCTGGAAAACGCCGTGCCCAAGATGTGGTGTCAGAGGAGGAGAAGGAGAAGGAGGGTGCATCTTCCATGGCCAGTGCTTCACAACATGCTGCAGACAGCCCAGCTGCTGGAGAGGAAGACCCTCCTGCTGCCAAGAAGCGACGAGTCACTGCCTCAAAGAGCTCCGAAACCGAAGAAGCAGCTACAGCACCCAGCCAGGAGACTGTGGGAGAAAGCAGTCCTCAGTCTTCAAAGGTACAGTCTGACAGTGTAAAGTACTCTGGACATAGCATGTCATGGGAGATAGAATAATACCGTACTTCCCTGAATATAAGTTGCACCTTTTCACACTATACTCCAGGGCCAACAAAGGGGATGCGGCTTGCAATCGTGCATGACTTACTACTGAAGTCAATACGATATGACAAGGACCAGAAAATGGGAATGCGACTTACAATCGAGTGAGACTTACAATCGGGGAAGTACGGTAGTACTTTTGTCTGCCGACCCAAAATGCTTCTGTACCAGCATTTGGCCTTGGACACACTGTGTCATGGCTATGAAGTACAGATGTTACTACCCTTGAAAGTATACTACAGGTGGAATCCTGATAATTCGAATATGGCTTAATTCGAACATGCCGCTTAATTAGAAGTTTTTCCAGGACCGATTTCTGTCAATACGATTCCCACATAAATGTTTCTGATAATTCGAACCTCGAACCGGACATGTCCGATTAGTTCGAAGTTCCACGGATTCCACTTACATAGAAAATGTGTGGGATTTGTGCTGATAATTCGAAGTTAGCAAAGTGTAATTCGAAGTTCACTGTACACTGTACTGATCAGTTCAGTTTTCATGAGCAGGCTGCGCTGGTCAGTTCAGTATTGGTGAAATCTGTGTCTAAGGTCCATAGCGCAACTCTGCGTGACCAGGGGAGCATTTTGACATACATATTGTGTTGTGGGTTCACGTTTGGATAATTAGAATGTCCGGATAATTAGACGTTTTTCTGGCATTTGGAGGTTCGAATTATCAGGATTCCACCTGTACTACATGTACATTATCTCCGTGCAGACACTCTGATGATGACATCACACTCCTCACTTTGATGTGCACGCTATGGGCTGAACAGTCTTCCCCGTATCAAAGAGGAATCCTGTCTTACCAGAAAGGTTTCCACTGCACCAAGGGCGTCCGGTGATGACGGACTTTACTGTGTTCGGTTGTCAAGAACTGAGTTCATTTGTCGTACTCCGCACATCCTGCGTGTAGTGATGGCAAGCGTGACGTCATCAGAGTCCTTTTAGCCGATTCAACCCCAGCCCCGTTCGAAATGCATTTCCTACCTGATGCTGAGCGAAATCCTTTCGGATTCTGGCTCTGGATTCTGGATTCCGTCTCAGAGTGACGTTGGCCAACAGTGGACCTCAGTCCCGGTCCTTGAATGGATTGTTCTGTTTTAAAATATAGCATTCCACTTGCAGTGGGTGTGAAAGAAAAACATGTTTTTTTCGCAGTTCGCACACTGCCGGTATCTGATTTTCTCAAGGATAGAGAAGCAGACAGATGTTCAGTAGCTTTGCGGAGCCAATTTTATTGTGTAAAGCTCTAATGGTTCTTGTCCAATATTGACACTATGCCTGTTAGTATTCTAACGGAAACTGTTCTGGTATTGTTGCTGCGGACATTTCAGGAGGAAAAAGAAACGTCGACCGCTGGCTCCAGCAAGAGCGGGGAATCCAAGGAGGAGAAAGGCGGTGACGTTTCCGGCATGCTGCAGTCGTTTGTGGATAGCGGCCCAGACAGCGACTCTAATACATGAAGTAACGCGCAGAATGCCGCTGCCGACGCACGGTGAGGAGCATTGGTGATTATCTCAGCTCTTGAGCTATCTCAGCTCTGGGTGCCGCTCAAGTCTAGTCGGTCCGGCCCCTATACTGATCTAACCCCACCCCAACAACCCAAACTTCGAAGAATCTCAATGTGCATTTATTTTCAGTACTTGCGGTGAGCCTCTTCCACATGTAAACATCCCACATGCAGTGCAGCACTGACCATGCCTGTATGCTTATATACCCACTACAACTACTACCACTGGAGTAAACGTCCACCATCTCAAGTTAGTGTATTTTGCTACTTCAGGAGGAATATGAACAGGCCGCCACTATGATGCCTAACCCCCATTGCTAATGCTATTCCTTTCTTGCTCTGCATTCTCTCCGGGAGTGTTTGCGTTGTAACGGCTCATCATCAGTGCATCGTATGCATACGTGTCGCGTTGCATTCCTTGCCGCTTACCTGAAATGCCTCTACCCCAGCCTGCACATTGCCACGTCTAGAATACTATTCTCAACTAGACTCGAGTGCATCAGATCTTAGTCCATGCAACGCATATTCCATTCGCTTGCACTGCTTTCTCTGATAAGAGAGCTGATGTTCCAACGCCTGAGCTTGGTGCACGATGCGTGTTGTCACATTGCGGCCGCCTTCTCTGCTTTGTCTTGTCACATAGAGCTGTTGTGTAGGTCTTGCCTTTTACCACTTGCTTTGTATGGCTTGTAGGCAGCATATCTAGTTTGTACTGTGGCTATGATTCATTAGTATTACTTCCTTTTTCAATTAGCTCGTAGGCGTTTTTAGCTGTTTTTTCATTTTTAGCTCGGTTCCGTCCTCTGAGCAGGAGCTCAGGACAGGCACACCATAGCCTCTCTAACTGTGCATTGAATTTGTGTTTTGCTTTGTATGAATAATGATGCCAGGTTAATAATCGCATAGCTCCGCTCGTGGTCTCTCTCTCTCTCTGTCCGTTTGCATGAGGGAAATAAGCCTGGGCTTATTCAACCCTACAATATAGGCTTACAATGCGCTCGCCTTGATCCATTCACCAGTCATGTTAGAGAGCGTGTTTACATGGTGCAGCTCGCCCCAAGCTGAACTAGCCCTACCCGTGATTATGACCCCCGAGCTATACAACCCCGGGGCTTGTTTTCTCATGTAAACTGTCAAGAAAATAAGTGAGTTTTTCCGTATTTTTCGATTTTGCCTCGTAAACCTGAGAGGATATGAGGCAGTAGAAGTGTGAGTATACTTGATTCAAATTTCATCTTTCACGAACATGTGCCACTGCGTTCATGTGCGATTTGAAAACAAACTGCACACAGAACTCACAGCCACCCACCTGAAGGCTGAACTCAGCCCCGTACACTCGGTAGACTAGTGCTTGAGAACGTGTAACCATGAAGTGCTTTTAGTGTGCGTGTGTGTGTGTATGCATTTTTTTTATTTTTTTTTTACAATGATCACAGCTCACAGGCAAAGACAAAAAATTGCATAGTGGGAGCATAGTGATGGTGAGGCTTTTTGCCCTCAGCCGACCTGAGGTCTCGACGTCATGGGGACATAAAACGCACCAAAAAAAGAAGAAAAATGAAAGGAGTGACAGGTACATGATACGAAATGTTAGGAGGAGAGACAGTACATTAGAAGGAGGGGAATGATAAGACAGACAGTGCTAGGAGGAGAAGGAGAGAAAAGAAGAACAGACGTTATTGGGAATAGTATGTGGAGCGGAATTTGGAAGTCATGGGGTGAGGCAGATATGATGCTGATGATCAGAGATGGTCATGTGCCCACGACCAGTCGTTGGTCTTCAAATAGCGGTTGGCTGCAACTTTGAAGTGTTGCAAGTTCTTGGTGCAGAAAGGACCAGAGAAGACTCCGGCGGGCAGCTGGTTCCAGACGGGGACAACTGCGTGAGGGTAGGCTCGACACAGGTTGTTTCGGGAACGGACTGGAAGTTCATTGGCCAGTTGGTGTGCGTGAGCATTACATCTCTGGAATGTACTATGGGTGGAGTGGACTGTTCGGTGTTGGGGCTGCTGGGGTGGCAGCATCCTCTGTAGAAGGGGATGCGCATCCGGACAATGCATCTTGTACAGGAGGCAAAGCATGTGTGTGTGTGTGTGTGTGTGTGTGTGTGTGTGTGTGTGTGTGTGTGTGTGTGTGTGTGTGTGTGTGTGTGTGTGTGTATGCATGTAAGTGCGTGCGTGCTTGTGTATAAGAAGACCACCTGTACACAGGGCCACACTTTTGAGCTATGGGCTTCGACAGGTTTCACTGGATGTTCTTATGAGAAAGTGGCCCAGGTACAGGTACAGGTACAGGTACAGGTACAGGTACAGGTACAGGTACAGGTACAGGTACAGGTACAGGTACAGGTGGATAGGCATAGCAGCCCAGGTGGGTATAGGCATAGCAGCCCAGGTGGGTATAGGCATAGCAGCCCAGGTGGGTATAGGCATAGCAGCCCAGGTGGGTATAGGCATAGCAGCCCAGGTGGGTATAGGCATAGCAGCCCAGGTGTGTATAGGCATAGCAGCCCAGGTGGGTATAGGCATAGCAGCCCAGGTGGGTATAGGCATAGCAGCCCAGGTGGGTATAGGCATAGCAGCCCAGGTGGGTATAGGCATAGCAGCCCAGGTGGGTATAGGCATAGCAGCCCAGGTGGGTATAGGCATAGCAGCCCAGGTGGGTATAGGCATAGCAGCCCAGGTGGGTATAGGCATAGCAGCCCAGGTGGGTATAGGCATAGCAGCCCAGGTGGGTATAGGCATAGCAGCCCAGGTGGGTATAGGCATAGCAGCCCAGGTGGGTATAGGCATAGCAGCCCAGGTGGGTATAGGCATAGCAGCCCAGGTGGGTATAGGCATAGCAGCCCAGGTGGGTATAGGCATAGCAGCCCAGGTGGGTATAGGCATAGCAGCCCAGGTGGGTATAGGCATAGCAGCCCAGGTGGGTATAGGCATAGCAGCCCAGGTACAGGTATAGGCATAGCAGCCCAGGTACAGGTATAGGCATAGCAGCCCAGGTACAGGTATAGGCATAGCAGCCCAGGTGGGTATAGGCATAGCAGCCCAGGTGGGTATAGGCATAGCAGCCCAGGTGGGTATAGGCATAGCAGCCCAGGTGGGTATAGGCATAGCAGCCCAGGTGGGTATAGGCATAGCAGCCCAGGTGGGTATAGGCATAGCAGCCCAGGTGGGTATAGGCATAGCAGCCCAGGTGGGTATAGGCATAGCAGCCCAGGTGGGTATAGGCATAGCAGCCCAGGTACAGGTATAGGCATAGCAGCCCAGGTACAGGTATAGGCATAGCAGCCCAGGTGGGTATAGGCATAGCAGCCCAGGTACAGGTATAGGCATAGCAGCCCAGGTACAGGTATAGGCATAGCAGCCCAGGTGGGTATAGGCATAGCAGCCCAGGTGGGTATAGGCATAGCAGCCCAGGTGGGTATAGGCATAGCAGCCCAGGTGGGTATAGGCATAGCAGCCCAGGTGGGTATAGGCATAGCAGCCCAGGTGGGTATAGGCATAGCAGCCCAGGTGGGTATAGGCATAGCAGCCCAGGTGGGTATAGGCATAGCAGCCCAGGTGGGTATAGGCATAGCAACCCAGGTGGGTATAGGCATAGCAGCCCAGGTGGGTATAGGCATAGCAGCCCAGGTGGGTATAGGCATAGCAGCCCAGGTGGGTATAGGCATAGCAGCCCAGGTGGGTATAGGCATAGCAGCCCAGGTGGGTATAGGCATAGCAGCCCAGGTGGGTATAGGCATAGCAGCCCAGGTGGGTATAGGCATAGCAGCCCAGGTGGGTATAGGCATAGCAGCCCAGGTGGGTATAGGCATAGCAGCCCAGGTGGGTATAGGCATAGCAGCCCAGGTGGGTATAGGCATAGCAGCCCAGGTACAGGTATAGGCATAGCAGCCCAGGTACAGGTATAGGCATAGCAGCCCAGGTGGGTATAGGCATAGCAGCCCAGGTGGGTATAGGCATAGCAGCCCAGGTGGGTATAGGCATAGCAGCCCAGGTGGGTATAGGCATAGCAGCCCAGGTGGGTATAGGCATAGCAGCCCAGGTGGGTATAGGCATAGCAGCCCAGGTGGGTATAGGCATAGCAGCCCAGGTGGGTATAGGCATAGCAGCCCAGGTGGGTATAGGCATAGCAGCCCAGGTACAGGTATAGGCATAGCAGCCCAGGTACAGGTATAGGCATAGCAGCCCAGGTACAGGTATAGGCATAGCAGCCCAGGTGGGTATAGGCATAGCAGCCCAGGTGGGTATAGGCATAGCAGCCCAGGTGGGTATAGGCATAGCAGCCCAGGTGGGTATAGGCATAGCAGCCCAGGTGGGTATAGGCATAGCAGCCCAGGTGGGTATAGGCATAGCAGCCCAGGTGGGTATAGGCATAGCAGCCCAGGTGGGTATAGGCATAGCAGCCCAGGTGGGTATAGGCATAGCAGCCCAGGTGGGTATAGGCATAGCAGCCCAGGTGGGTATAGGCATAGCAGCCCAGGTGGGTATAGGCATAGCAGCCCAGGTACAGGTATAGGCATAGCAGCCCAGGTACAGGTATAGGCATAGCAGCCCAGGTGGGTATAGGCATAGCAGCCCAGGTACAGGTATAGGCATAGCAGCCCAGGTACAGGTATAGGCATAGCAGCCCAGGTGGGTATAGGCATAGCAGCCCAGGTGGGTATAGGCATAGCAGCCCAGGTGGGTATAGGCATAGCAGCCCAGGTGGGTATAGGCATAGCAGCCCAGGTGGGTATAGGCATAGCAGCCCAGGTGGGTATAGGCATAGCAGCCCAGGTGGGTATAGGCATAGCAGCCCAGGTGGGTATAGGCATAGCAGCCCAGGTGGGTATAGGCATAGCAGCCCAGGTGGGTATAGGCATAGCAGCCCAGGTGGGTATAGGCATAGCAGCCCAGGTACAGGTATAGGCATAGCAGCCCAGGTACAGGTATAGGCATAGCAGCCCAGGTACAGGTATAGGCATAGCAGCCCAGGTGGGTATAGGCATAGCAGCCCAGGTGGGTATAGGCATAGCAGCCCAGGTGGGTATAGGCATAGCAGCCCAGGTGGGTATAGGCATAGCAGCCCAGGTGGGTATAGGCATAGCAGCCCAGGTGGGTATAGGCATAGCAGCCCAGGTGGGTATAGGCATAGCAGCCCAGGTGGGTATAGGCATAGCAGCCCAGGTGGGTATAGGCATAGCAGCCCAGGTGGGTATAGGCATAGCAGCCCAGGTGGGTATAGGCATAGCAGCCCAGGTGGGTATAGGCATAGCAGCCCAGGTGGGTATAGGCATAGCAGCCCAGGTGGGTATAGGCATAGCATTGCACTCGGAATGCATCAACCGATCAAGTTCGCGATGTGCTGGGATAGCGTACTCCAGGCAGGTAAGGGTGCTGAAACGATCAGCAGGCAAATACGGCAGCACGCAGAAGCCAGACTTAGGGGGGGGGGGGGGGGGGAGGTAAACATTGTCGAGAAGCATCTAGTAGTAGTTCTTCGGAGAAGGTCAGTATGCAACCGCGGCGGGCAAGACCAGAGTAACACTCAGTAGTGAACACGCATGCTGTAGGAATATTCTCAAGTTCTTTTTTTACACGTAATTTCAACACAATAGATATGCCTTCAAAAAGGGATGAAGCGGCAGCTTGCCCATTGCACCTAGCTGGTCATCAGCGGGCATTCGACTGAGAACGGCGGTGCGACACAGGGACTTGAGGCTCTCGGCGCCTGACCCAGCAAAGGTACACATGGACAAGGATACACGCCGTTGCTCTTCACTCAGGTTGGCATGGTCGCAGGTGTGACCGTCGTGTAGGAGACCGTCCGCCCAGGGTATCTCCTGGAGAGTTTCCAGCCAAGGCACATCACTACAGGTTAGGAGGTACTGCACCAGCTCGTCATCAGCATCTCCCTTGGCTGT